ACACACACACACACACACACACACACACACACACACACACACACACACAACTTTACTAGGTACACCTGTTCAACTGCTCATTGTAGAAAATACATAATCAGCCAATCATATGTCAACTGTACAATGTATTACATCATGCAGATACAGGTCAGAAGCTTCAGTTAATGTTCACATCGAACACCAGAATAGGGAAGAAAGGTGAATTAAGTGACTTTGAAAATGCCATGGTTGTTGGTGCCAGATGGGCTGATATGAGTATTTCAGAAATTGCTGAGCTGGGATTTTCATGCACCGCTATCTCTATGGTTTACAGAGAATGAGCCAAAAAATAAAAGACCAGCTGGAGAAAATGCCTTGTTGATGGCAGAGGTCAGAGAAGAATGGCCATACTGGTTCAAGGTGACAGAAAGACAACAATAACTCAAATAGCCACTCATTACAACAAAGGTATGCAGAACAGCATCTCTGAATGCATAGCAGGTCGAACCTTTAAGCAGTTGGGCTACAGCAGCAGCAGACCACACCAGTGGCCTGTGCTACGGAGCAGGGTCGGATTTAAGGTACCACAGTTTAAATGGACTTCATATTTGTTCACTTACATTTTGCCCAGACTACCTTAAATCCGACAAGTTACCCAGACAAGCCAGTAACCCCGTTTCGTAGTACAGACCCTATTTGCCTCCCCTGTCAGGTAAGAACATGAAACGGAGCCTACAATAAGCCCGGACTGGACAATGGAAGATTACAAAAAAATGGTAGCTGGTCAGATCAGTCTTGATTTTTGCTGTGACATTCAGATAGTAGGGCGAAAATTTAGTGTAATCATGAAAGCATGGATCCATTCAGCCTTGTAAGAACAATTCAGGCTGCTGGTGGTGATGTAATAGTGTGGGGGATATTTTCTTGGCATGCTTTGGGCCCCTTATTACTAATTGAGCATTATTAAATGCCACAGTCGACCTGAGTTTTGTTTTTGACCATTTCCATCCCATTATGAACACAGTGTATCCAGCTTGTAATGGCTACTTCCAGCAGGATAATGCACCATGTCACAAAGCTCATATCATCAGACTGGTTTCTTAAACATGACAATGAGTTCACTGTACGCATATGCCCTTCACAGTCACCAGATCTCAATCCAATAGAGCACCTCTGGGATGTGGTGGAAAGGAGGGACCAACTCAGTACTAGTAAGGTGAACCTAATAAAGTGGCCAGTGTGTGTATGCAGGAACAGTACAGTTTGTTCACTTGTCTTTAAGTACAAAACACTTACTGAGTCTGTTACTGTTTATGCTGAGGCTCTTCAGCTGGGCAAAGCTGCCGATGAAAGCAGGAAGGGCTTCAATCTTGTTGCTGGATAAATCTACTGTCCGGAGGTTTCCGGTCAACCTCTGCAGCTCCTCTGGGAACTGAAATACATCAGAGGGACATTACTCAGACCCAGAGCAGCCAAACAGTTAAGGCAATGGTCCATGTTCTTCAAAACAAATTTGTGACAGATCACATCAACAGGCACCAAAGGAATCTCAACCAACAGGGCTGATTTTGCATTGGTACAATAAAAGCATGAGCATGTAACAGAAAAACAATACCAATATATATAAAATGTTTTTGTGTTAGTTATAACTATGTATTTTCTCAGGGCAGTGACTTTTAAAACAGGTCACCCATAAGTTCAGCTGTGTAGGATAAAGTGTGGGAAGTCTGACCTCTGGAAGACCTTTTCCTGTCAGCTGGAACACTCCTGTCTTCTGAGAGGTCTCCAGGTGAGCTTTGAGGGCACTGTTCCCCATTGCTGAGCCGGCTTCTCACTCAACCTGTGTGATCACACCCACTTCAGTGCACCCGTTTACCTCCCCCAAGTTTCCCCAGAAGCCAGCACTCCGCTGCAATGCCCATCTGAGGGAGGTTATGAAAAGTAACGCATCCTCTTAAGATTGATGTCTGGTTAGTGCAATGTAAGCTCAGTAAGGACATGTAAGGGCAGTGTGTGGCTCAGCCAGCTAAGCCTGTATGGCTATGGTCAGAAGGTTGCTGATTTGAGTCTGGCCTCGGCAGTATAGTCACGTCTATGGGCTCTTGAGCAAGCCACTTAACCCCCAGGTCCATAGGCATTGCTGCAGGTGCTGCCCATTCGCTGCCAAGCTTGCTCTCACTTTTGTATGTGCCAGTGTGTCATGGACAGCAAGAGGGGGTTGGCAAAAAGAGAATTTCCCCACGGGGATTAATAAAGTGTCATTATTATAATCAGACGCACGTGAACGCAGCAACTGATGTGACCTCATCGCTATTCATGCGTCGTCGTTTTTGTTTTTTTAAACCCCTCCCCATTGTTTTCACAATGCATCTGCAGCTCCAAATTTAAGTTCATAAAATGCTGACCAAGAAGCACATTTATACAAAGTCAGACGAACCCCACCGTCTACTGCGTAAGTAATGCAAGCTAGCCAGTTACCTCACATTGAAGATAAAGTTGCAATAATTAAAACATTTCGTAGTCACGGCGGGGGTTGCTGTGTTACCATTTACTAGAAGATGGCTGACTAGTGAATAAAGATTTCACTGTTACTTGTTTTCAATGAAGGTAGAAATTGCCATCTTAAAAAGTTTTCTTCTATTGAAAGGACTAAGCGTTAGCCAACATTAACAATTAAGTCGGTTCGTTTAAAAGTCAAGTTAATTTACAACGATATGAACTTAGCGCAACGTTCAGGAGTTTCACTGACAAATATCAAAAACAGACAAATACGTGCAAATGTTACTCGAAAAAAAATTAACGTTTCCCACAAAAATGACAGCATGCTCGCCCATCTCCTTGTCACTGCAGTAAATAATTACGCGTTGTTGTTTACTTACGTCGAGCCAGCAACAGTCTCGATGAGTGACTATGAAACTAAAACGAAAATTCTGCGCTTATGTAGTCTTTTTGAGTTTTACACTGAAATTTCAGAAAAACGAGAAAATAAGTCGCTAGTTGACTTCTCCTAAAAACCCTAAGTGCATTAGGTCCTGGCTTTGCAAAAGCTGACCGAGGCCTAACCCGATTCCTGTGCTCCTATTGGTCCGCGGCGTTTCAGCTCGTGCTGTGCGTATATTTAAAGGGGAAGTAAGTGCTTTTATTCGAGACTTCGTGAGCCCATCCCAGGAAAAACACGGGGTGGGGACACCATGGATGAGATAATTATGGGACCCACAGTCGCACATACTATGAGAGGTTTAGAGACGCCATTTCACCTAATCGCATGTTGCACGCGCATTAACGTGGAAAGACATTAACATGGAGTGGGATTAAGACCCACAGTCTAACAGTAGTACACGCTTGGCCATCGATCATGCCACTTTGAGTAAATTAACGTTAAATAATTATTCATGCGTTATTTGCCCATAGAGACAATCAAAAAAAAAAAAGAAGAATAAAAAACAAATGAAATCAGATATCTGGCGAGTGGAAGTTGTGAAGGAACATCAGTGCCTTTGTTGCTTCGGTTCAAGCCTAATATTTATTTCCGCGAAAAGTGTTTACAACTTTTATTATGCAGGACAAAACTACATATGATACCCAGGAGGTAAAAAGATGACGATAATGTTTATCATTTTCATTAAACATGATTACCAAAATACGGAAATAAAATTTATCAGTGAATTATAATCTCACATTTTATGTATTCTTTTTCTGTTTTGTAACTGCACATGTGACAATTTAGTGCTGATAAAATGTGTAAAGTTTTAAAGTTTACCATCACGGTTTTGGGAATCCACAGACGGTCCACGTTTTTGTTCACTCCTAGCTCCCTGTCAGGCAATTCATATCTTTGCTAGGAGGGAGCAAAAACGTGGACTACTGGGATCCCCGTCCCCCGATGACCAAATTGGGAAACAGGAGCAAATTAATGCTTTAAAGCAATGAGTGTTGTTAATAGACGAATTACCATAGATTATATTATTCTGACAGGTAAGGATTATTCTAGGTGGATCGTAGTAATGTGTTATGTCAGAATAAAGATAGACACGCTCATCTATCGATGGCATCAGTCCTTGACTCGTTTGGCCTGCTTAGACGTAAAGTGTCGCAAAATATGTACGTCATCATAAACGCTGATGAAGGCGGGCTGCGTTTGAATGTTTCTTTTTTTCTTTTTATTAAACAATAAATAGTTAGGTGTTTTAATAATATGTAAACTTTCGCTTTAAACTTAAAAAACTTTTTTGTAATCCGTTACACTAATAAATGTGTCTGCGTTAGAAATAACTCTTTTCCTCTTGCTGCCGTATAATAAGGCTCGGTTCGCTTTTTCAGTTGCTGACTGCCACAATGAATCCATGGGACCCCGTATCTTATTCTGTGACACCTGCTGCCCAGGTCTTAGCAAGATGTGTAGCCTCGGGAGTTCTGTCTCAGGTTAGGCACATAGTTTGATCGTTTCAAAATAAGGAGTATTGATTAACTTGTATATCATATGGAGTTTCAAAATGCCCTTTTTCCTCCATTTCTTTTAGGGAGATCTCGATGCAGTTCCCAGAGAAAAGAATGTATTTTCTCATCACCTTCTGGAAGCTGAACGAGTTGTAAACATGAACAGTGAGACTGATAATGTATGATGCTATTAAGCGTATTTAATTTCATTTAGGTTTGACTGCCTTCTTATTTTAAAACATTTTATTCACCTAAGTTGTACTGTGAATACTGTAGAAAAGACTGGAGATTGAGCTGCTGAAGCTCGAGAAGGAGACTGCAGATGTGACTCACAGCTTCTTTCTCAGTAAGTACAAATGGTTTTCTGGCTATTGTGAAATGTATTTGATTAAGTGTACTAGTTAAGTGTAACATTAACGTGAGTAAGATATTATATAACCTTTAACCTCCTGAGACCCTACGTCTTCATATAAGGACATCATTTTTAGTTCGAAACTATTAATTGTTCAAAAAAATAATGTTTGGTTTTTATGATTATGAGGTCCTACTAATCCCAAATAGCTAAAGGAAATAAAACATGCACACCAAACAAAAGCCTGGGACCCAGGAGGTTAATAATCTACAGATGTAGTTAATGGCAAAGTGCCAAGGCCAACTTGCTGGCATTGCCATTTGTGCAGGTCAAAAGTTCACGGCCTTGCAGCAGTTCACATCCCACCTCCAAGAGGTTCTGCGCGAACAGACAAGCCTGCGGCAGAGGCTGATGAAGCCCTTGTGCCAGCAAAACCTGCCTGTTGAGGCCAGTCTGCACAGGTGCATGAAGTCAGAAGGCTTTGGACACAGTCTATTACTAACATATATGCATCCCTGTATATGTGCTGTTTTTCCTAGTTTTGTCACGTACACAAGCATGCACTGTACATGTGTGTAGTGAAATGCATTTTCCACCTGCTTCATGGACTTGCTCAAAAGGGTAAAAATAAACATAACATTAAATTAAAAGCATAAAAAGCAATAACTGAATTTGCGTAGGGCAATGGTTGGAAGATGTTTTTCAAATGTGTGATTGTGTTTAAACACTAACAGGTTACTAGCTGACTGTAACACCCCCCCCCCCAAAAAACATATAAACTCTAGTGCTCTTTATCCATCTAGATCGGGGATAGGCCATCTTACCCAGAAAGGGCTGCTGTGTGTACAGGTTTTTGCTGGAACTCATTAAATCACTGATTAGGTGATTGATTGGCTGAAGAGTTCTTGCACCTGGGTTTGAACAGCTGACCTAAAGGTTATCCCAAAATCCTGCATATACACCAGCCCTTTGCGGATAAGATTGGCCATGCCTGATCTAGATTGTTGTGGTGAAAGCTGCTTAGTTGTGGAGATATTTTTACTGCCAAGGTCAGTCTTCTCTCGCATATAATGGGGCTGAATGGTATTTTTTCTTTGGTGATTAAAGCACCAAAAAATAAATTTAAAAGATTCAACAACAGTCACCAGAAATCATGACCCAGTTATTCAAAATAATCCACAGGCCTTGTAATGAGGAGTTTTACATAGGAACTATTTTCTTTCGAATCGCTGGGTGATCCGGGTAGTGTGTGGAGTTAAGAGTTTTTGGTGTTTTGATTACTACAGGAAGAGTGCCAGTCTGCCCCACTGAATTTGAAAGAAGACTGACACATCTGCAGCCGATATCACCAAAACTAAGCAGCTCACACCGCAACAATCTAGATGCATAAATAGCAGTATAGCCTGTCTGATGATTTTTATTGATTTTGGGATGAACTGCCTCTTTAAGCAGTTACTATCCTTACAGAAGTAGTGTGCAGAAATATCCGGTGAACACTTGAACAAATTTATTTATATTAGTTTTAATAGGTATTTATAGTCAATGAGTGATTTTCATACCCCTCTTTGTGGTTTTGAACATGCAACTATAAATTATGCCCAAGAGACAATTTAATACATAACTATTAATGAATTGTTCTTAGGTATGTGGTGGAGCTTATAGATATGGCAGTCGACTTGATCAAAAATTTGGAGAGCAAGATGAGGACGACTCGGACGATTCCCAGTATAAATCACATGATGACCAGAATGGTAAGACCTGATAAAGAAGTGGAATCCAATGCTGTGTCATGTATGTTAGTGACTTTTAGACATAATTCTTATCAATTCAAAAGTCATAGAAATTTGTAGTGCACTTTAAATTGCTGAATTTCAAATAGATTTACATATATGTTACTATTGTATTATTTGAGAGGTGTGGGGCTTAACTAAAACGTTTCCACAAACGGTCAACTATATAGACGAATGAAGAAAAAATGTAAACGTCTCAGTTTACATTAATTAAAAACATGATTAAACTAACAAGCCGCTCTCCTCTCAGGATAATGTCCTGGCACAGCTTTTGACTCAGGTTGCAGACATACAGGAGCTGTCCAGACAAATTCTACAGTGGAAGGACCACCAGCGCAGCGAAATGACCAAGAATGACTCTCATTCCTGAAATCAGTCAGCCTCTTCTATGAGTCCTCTCCTGTAAAATTGACTCAGCGCTCTTTTAAAGATGAACGTGCCTTTTTGAAATTTTCTTATAGTGTGCATTTTCCATGATATACCTTGCTGTAAATTAGTTCCTTTCAATAAAAACTGTCGGTGATGTAGTTGCATAAATATGTAATTAATTGAAAAATAAAGCCTATTGCCTTTTGATAGATGTAGAGTTCCCTTGTAATTTCTACTGTGGTGGGTGGACCTTTTGATGCACAGCGTTGTCATCTTTTATTTGATTGGCTGGGTTCTGTTAACTGCCACATGCTCAGTACAGGAGGGGAATTTCCCGCTCTGCATCTCAGACTGCCCATGCAGTCGTTGTGTTATGGCCGCTGTACTGGACTGGCCGCTCGTGGCAAACAGGTGTTTTTGCTTTGCTCAAAATTTCCACCTTCTCTGCCATCAGCAGCTTCTCAGAGAGGCTGTCAGGGCTGCGTAGCTTCTTGACTGCGATGAGAATGGATTCTACCTTTCGCTTTATTTTAAAACTAAACTTGCCTCCATAATTATTTGGGATAATTGCCATTTTAATGCATATTTTTATTGAGATCCAAAATCTCTCTGCGGAAAAAAAAATACGGGTGTAATTTTAGCTGTGATGCATGTTAATTTTACAAAATTATACTTGTGCACAGATTGCAAATGGGTGTATATATAAACACATGCAGTGCAAAACATCCTCAACGGGCATTTTTGCCACTAACTAAAAATCAAGAGAATGCTTTTCCATTTCCACTGTATTTCTGGTGAATTGCCTCCACCTTCATCTTGCAGACCATGCTTTTTTCTTCTTTAAAGCTGCACCTGAGGAGTATTTCAATGTGCTAAGAAGAATAAGTGGGTTTTTATCTGAAATGCAGGATTACAGAAGCTTTGAGGCAATTAATCAGGAGCCATGTCAGCTGTACACATTTTCAATCTGCTATATGATCTCTGACCACTGTTCTTAGCAGTTCTCCAGCATAAACTGCTCCTGCAGTAGGTCCAGGGTTCCAAAGAAGATATTGTGGATGTCAGGGGTTAAGAAATCACAAATGCCACTAGAGGTCATTATTACTGTAGTTGATGTTAAACCTGGGCTACTTTAAGCCCAGATGAAACATTGCAAAACATTAGTTTTAATGGAAAAAGTGGTGCTTTGAACACCATGTTGTGTTATGCAAGCAGCCGAGAAGGCATTTGTACAGCACTTGAGTAGGATCCTGCGGACACTGCCTTTTTAACTTGGTGGGGCTTATATGCACGTTACTGCTGATTGGGTAACACCTCCAATACACCCACTAATCGACAGAAAACGTACCTCAGCCTTTTTCGCAACATTTCGAGGAAAGGTGTCGTTCAGCCTGGAAACCATAAGCTAACGTTGCACACCTTTTCAGATTGAACGTGCAATTGTTCTGCACATAGTTCAGCTGCAGTTTAAGACAGGCTGGTAGTTTAAATACATCCTCAAATCAGACATTATTAATAACTGTAGGCAAGTCTGATGAAACCTTATAGGTTTGTATAGGTTATATTTAAAATTTTAAAGGCAGAAAAGGTTATAATTCATACTAATATATCCTGTTTTTTTATTCCAAAGTAGAAAGATGTGCTGATAAACTGATCTTTACTGCAACCTTGCATTAGTGAAGAAGTTTGCAATATATTTTCCTTTATTAAGCTTGTTGGATCAATGTCCATCCTTCCATCCATCCATCTTCTCCCGCTTTTCCATGTCAGGTCGCAGGGACAGCAGTCTAAGCAGGGAAACCCAGACTTCCCTCTCCCTGGCCACTCATCCAGCTCCTTTTGGGGAATCCCGAGGTATTCCCAGGCCACCCGAGAGACATAGTCCCTCCAGCGTGTCCTGGGTCTTCCCCGTGGCCTCCTCCCTGTGGAACATGCCCGGAACACCTCACCAGGGAGGCGTCCAGGAGGCATCCTGACCAGATGCCCGAGCCACCTCATCTGGCTCTTCTCAATGCGGAGGAGCAGCGGCTCTACTCTGAGTCCCTCCCGAATGACCGAGCTCCTTACCCTATCTCTAAGGGAGAGCCCAGCCACCCTGCGGAGGAAACTCATTTCGGCCGCGTGTATTCGCGATCTCGTTCTTTCGGTCACTACCCACAGCTCGTGACCATAGGTGAGGGTAGGAATGTAGATTGACTGGTAAATCGAGAGCTTTGCCTTTTGGCTCAGCTCCTTCTTCACCATGACAGACCGATGCAGCGCCCGCATGACGCCGCACCGATCCGCCTGTTGATCTCCCGCTCCATCCTTCCCTGACTCGGAGAGGGTGCCTGTGGAGCGGTACCTTGGGAAGGTCCCAGGCTTTGGAGAATCCGCAAAGGTCTCGGAGGGAGCGATGCTGGAGCTTATCCCTGTGTTGCACGAGTCTGAAAGAAACTGTGAAAATGAGAAAGTTGGAGCTAAGAATGAGAGGAGGAGGAGGGTCTGACGCTATCCTCCAATAAACGCTTAGCAGCAGCAGTTTGACCTTGTGTCTGTGAGGGGAGGGTGAGTGGGTAGTGTTTGACCCCCCTGCAGCAGCAGCAGCAGCAGTTTGCTTGTGCTCACTCCCTACCACTTTCACACGCTCACACACAGGAAAACTGCTGCTGCTGCTACTGCAGGGGGGTCAAACACTACCCACTCACCCTCCCCTCACAGACACAAGGTCAAACTGCTGCTGCTAAGCGTTTATTGGAGGATAGCGTCAGACCCTCCTCCTCCTCTCATTCTTAGCTCCAACTTTCTCATTTTCACAGTTTCTTTCAGACTCGTGCAACACAGGGATAAGCTCCAGCATCGCTCCCTCCGAGACCTTTGCGGATTCTCCAAAGCCCGGGACCTTCCCAAGTTACCGCTCCACAGGCACCGTACGCTCACACTCCATCAGGTAACCGACCCGCTCAGCCCCCCGTGCTCAGCTCCGTCCTCGGCACCCTCGTAGCACAGGGCTATTCCCATAAAAAAACCCCAATCAAAAGCACAGAATTCACTCTCCTCAAAATAAAATAATATAATAAATAATTCATAATAAAATAATAAATAAATAAATAACAATAAATTAATAAAAAATAAATAAAAACCTCTCCCAACGTCACTAGTCGTGACGTCACGCCCCAGACCCGCCCACCCAGTGAACTTTTCACCCGTGACCTTTTTGACCTTTGGGTCATAAACCTTTTTGAAAGAAGCGCCATTATCCATCTCTCTCCAGTGCTCCCGCTCGCTGACTTTCAATGTTGAGCCCAGCAATATTTTTCATCTGATGTTGTACATTCTCACACATACACTCCTATGGGCAATTTAGTAACTCCAATTAACCTCAGTATGTTTTTGGAATGTGGGGAGGGAAACTGGAGTACCTGGAGAAAAGCCCATGGCAATATGGGGAGAACATTCAAACTATACACTCAGAACCATGGCAGAGACTAAAACCCTGATCCGAGAGGTGAGAATCAGCGGTGCTGATAACCGTGCCACAATGCCACCCCTTAATAGGATCGTAAAATGCTAGTAGTCAAGTGAGGCTGAAATGAATCTGTCTCAGTGTCATTTTGACATTACTTTTTAAAGAAATAAAACTGATACCCTAATTGACTTCATACAGGACATGTGGGTAACAAGACTCGTGCAGTTGTGGAATATTTAGTCTGAAAGACTTTAAAGTGGTGTATGTAAACTTCTGTCCTCAACTGTAAGTACCACAACTTTAAGAAGATTGCCTCCAATTTAAGGTATGTTAGATACCGACACAGAAGTTTTTGAGAGCCCCAATATGTGTGTCATAAACCCCCATAGGTTATTAAAGATGGACTCATTGTCGTACGATCCTCGTGTGTACCACGCCCCCCTCGTCACCTCCTGTGAATTCCTGATTGTTCTCAGCTGTTTTGCATTTCTGTCCCTTAGTCTTGTGTATTTAAGTCCACGTCTGAATCCGTATCGTCAGATCTGTCATTAACGTTTGTACTGTGTGGTTACCTGTCCGTCCTGAATAAACCCCGTCCGTTGGATATCCGTCTCCCTGCTCACTCGCCCGTCACACGATCATAAAACTCATGGACATACACAATTTCTTTTGATTAGATTGATTTGACTTGATTGGACTTGTGTAGAGTAGCCTGTAAGGCACTTTCTATCCACATGAATACTGAAGCCTGCAAATAACTGTATGTGTCCAGAGTTGGCGCTAGAGATTTTGGGCCCCGTGAATGCATATCATATTGGGTGCCCAACCCAGAACAATCCAGTTATGTTCCAAATATTTTAGGGCCCTTGTCACTCAGGACCCTTGGAATCATCCTTTCTCCCCCTCTCCCAGTCTATCGTACATTTTAGGCAACTTGCAAAATGTAAAGTAGTCCGTTTTAAAATTATAAAATTGAAGCGCGCTTGTTGATTTTCTCCAAGCAGTTCTCAAACGTGCCACAGTGTGGTGCAATTGTTCATCTTAACAACGACGGTAGGCAGCGACCTATAAACGATTAAGCATCACAAAAACACGATAGCCACTATAATCATCACCTGTAAATAAAACTTTATTTAATATAACAGTCACTGCCATTTGTGGAACAATAATATTATTGATAACCATGAGACACCTCCTTGCACAATACATACCTGTAGCTATGTCTTCATTAAGAATCGTTTCAATTGAGATAAACCTGGAGACTACAGGTCAAAACGTATGTGTAGACATGTCAATTTGATTTTTTTTATCTGAGCAGTGACAATTAAATAGTGAAATTAAATAGTGAAATTAAAATGGACCACAAACAATAAATTCAGGAACAACATTATTTAAAACAGCTTACTTAATTTTGGGGTTCGTATGTCTTACTATGAAAAACTCATGCTTTCTTCCTGAATGATGGATTATTTGTGGGCTTATACTTAGAGTCACAGCGTTTCTCCAGGTTGCGATTCAGCAGTCCAGTGTCATTTGAAATCTGGTGATATACAACTTGTTTAATGGAAGTGATTTCTTTCCAGGATATTCATCTTGGTTCTTTGTGACCACTTTGGTAGATTGATACCCACCAGCAGTAAGTGATCTTCTCCAGTTCAAATCAGTGGTACTTTGTCACCATGAGGCTCAAAACCCCAAGTCTATGCAGCACACTTTAAGATTATGGTGCACTATTGAATATACCATACGAGGGACATTGTCCAAATTTTGTAAAAACTGTGATTTTTTTGTGTGACGTTGTTGACTTGATAGCTTGAAAATTCATATAACAACCAAACAATGAATCTCTATGTAAAACATATTGCATATTTTGACCTATTCAGCACTAAATGCAACCACATCAGGGTTACCTGTCTGTGAGTACTGCACGTAATGCCCGCTCACAATGAACAGTTCCACCTGTCCTAGTCACAAATGGAACCCCTATTTTATTACAAAGTACCACATTCATCAAGCGACATACAGAGAATGATAAACTAACCAGTACACCTACTCTCACATAATAAGATCTCATGATGCAGCACTATTCATCATGTTTGCATCACTATCCAGACGAGTTTCAAACAGATTACATGTTAGATATTTATCTAATTTTACAGCTATTACGATATTGTGTAGGAAAACCAGTAAGTAATGACACATTCCAAATATCCATATACTTGTGCTAAATATGTGAAATCCTTCATCTGCTTAGATCAGTGTTTCCCATTCTGGTTGTTGGGAACCCACAGACAGCGTGGCTGGGAGCTGGGAGGGAGCAAAAACGTGGACCGTCTGTGGGCCCCCGAGGGCCGGGTTGGGAAACACTGGCTTAGATGTTTGAGTATGCCTCTTACTCAAATCCAATCAAATGCTTTGTCAGGGTTCTCAGTTGTTGATGTATCAGAACATGTGGATGATGAATCAGCACACAGCTAAAGTTTGTAAAATATAGACATATCGGTAATGTCCTATCTGCAGCAGCACAAATGAAACAAATTTATTGGCAAAAAGGAGGTTTGTGTGGACAGATGCATTGAGGACCTCACCTATATATGCGACGGCCTAAGTGCCGTGTAACCCAGCTTTATGTTGTTTACACTTTTAAAATAAATTTTCTCCTTATCTGTAGAAAACTCTTTCCTACATTTCATGTCTGATAAATATTATTGAAAACATTTCATAATATTCACCTTTTATTACAAACAAATTGGTACATAAAATATTTAGTCTTACAGAATTACATGGGAATTCTGGGGTTCACAAGACATCTGGACCAGATGTTGATTAAACATGTTGTTGGTCCCCAAGTAGTTGCACTGGGCACTAGTGTACAGAATTAGTAAATTTGTAGAAAAATAAATTAACTAACTCACTGGCTGCATCTTCTGCCTGAATCTTTGCTACACTTTTCTCTCTGCATCTGAGTGCCTTTGGGCGTCGGATATGAACTGTTTCCATGGTTATAACCTTGTCTAGAAGAAGCCCACTCATGTCGTAAACGGACTCCCATGGGATTATGGGATCGTATGCACATAGATTTATATGGGCAAATGCGCATTTAAAAAGTTAACATTAACATAAGCATTTGAATAACCTCACTCTTATGCCTCTTATGCCTCAACAAGTAGAGCACTGCGCTACCAAACTAAAGCCTCTGGGTTTCAATCGGAGGGAGCACACATTAATTGTAGCTCTCCTCTTAGTCGCTTTGGATAAAAGCATCAGACACATGAAGTTAAATGTATCTAAATCACTTGTGTGGTTACACAAACTGTACTGCAAGATGTGCAAACTTTTAGATTTTCAACTAAATTAAAGTATGATAACAAATAAGGCATTGTCTACCAAAGACTACAATTACAATATACTTGGTCATTCATGTTGGAACTCCACACAAAATTGTGCTACCGCGTTGTAAGTCCCAACCACTTTTTTGAAAGTGATGCCTGAACCGGTGAATTCTATCAAAGAAACATGTTGCGTATTTATTTCTAGTACATCTATGTATTAATTATGAGCCTTAAGAAGTTGCACATTCAAAACTCAATAAATTCACAGGAAAATAAAAAAGTAAAATCCCTTAAGGCATGGTCCTTTTAAAATGAAAAAAATACCATAAATACCTCACTTGTTTATTTCTTTTCTGTGTGACCTTGTTTCTGAATGACTGGCTCATGATGCTATGTGTGGAATAGTTTTTGTGGATGACCTCTGCACTTGGATTATTAACTGTACATAGTGAATACCAAGAAATATATTAGTGGAAAAAGACATCATACATCTCTCTCTAACATGCTCACATAATACAGCTTCTTCATCATAGGGTGTCAAGGCCTACACAAGTAACCTTGTTGTTAGTTACTCTGAGAGGAGGGAGATCCACCCTGAAAGCAGAAAGTGCTTAAGCTGTGCAATGTGTGTTTGTCAGGATACTTATTATTAATTTTTCATTCTGTACTGTTGGCCATGTAGCATGTTAATGTTTTTTATATTGATCTGATGCCACTGTTAATCTGGAGTTGGAGTATAGAAGGATCATGCTGGGTTAATCTCTGTCTTACCTTATGAAACCTTACTCAAAGTCATCATGAAGAATGCTTCTTAAAAATGTGTTTTTTTTGTACATTAAAAACATTGATGAATGTTAACTGACTTAAAGAACCTTGCAGAATTGATCATATAAAGTGAACAAAATAAAACCATTTAAACGTGTGAAGTTTCTGGGAATCTTCTGGACCTTTCTGAGGTCGACACCGCAGCTGAGTCTCTGGAAGGAGCACGGGCATGTGGTGCTGGCTGGTCTGAGACAGCAAACAGGCACATTTATGGGGAATGGAAGTGCAATTGCTGAACCGCCGCAAATTCGGAAGACTTGAAAGGAAACCCTAAATTACACTGAATGAGTTATTGTGTTCAAAGCCACTGCGAAGCCACTGCGAAGCCACTGCGGGGGGAGAAACAGCCTCAGGCAGGAGCAAAATGTCTATACACTGGATTCCAATTAGTCTCATAAAAGGTAAAGCAGGGGTGGGAGGGCAACTGCTAGTGCAATCATAAGAAAACAAATTGTACTGTTGAGGCTGAAAGGCTTTTTCTTGGGGGGGGCGGGGGGTGCAATCAAGAAAGCCAAGAGGACCTTACAATTCTTTGCTTATAGCTATGATGGTACAACCTGGCACTCAGGAAAAGGTTACCTCAGCGTGGAGGCTTTTATGGACACATGGAGGGGATGTGATGTGAAAAGTTCCAGCACAGAGCAAAGGCAGTTTGCACATTTCCTCCCAGACTCAGTCATTTCCTCCCTCGTGACTTGCATAAAGCACCTTAAGAATGAAATGACAAGTCGCTTGGGAATATTATTCTGTAGCCATTTGTGTCTCGAAGCCCTTGTGAAGAGGAGCCTACTGATATCCAGCCTCAGCTTCTGCTGGAAGGGTGCTGGGTGATCAGAGTGGCTTCTGGTTATCTCAACAGGCAAGTACAGAGCTTCAGGTTTGTAGTCAGTCTATCATGTGTCTGGGCTGAGGCTCTCAGAGTGAGGTCTCCAAGCAGCAGGAGCCCCGTCGAATATAGTAACGCCGCCCCTCCCCCGACTCTCGGCAGCCTTCGGGTCGGTGGACGATCAAGACGGGGAAGAAGTGAGCGTCCCGATATGTGGGTGGGCTTTCGTTCAGTGCCATCTGGCTGGAGTAGGAGCGGCAACACTGCTCATCCAGGCAGCAGCGGTCCGTCAGCGTGCTGCTGCGGCTCCTCCAGACGCCCATGGTGCGCCGCGAGCCATACATGCGGCAGAGTGAGAAGCGAGACGTGTCCAGGGAGAGCCGGGAGTGGAAGGCATGCCGAGAGAAGATGGAGGAGCAGCTGGAACTGAGGGTGGCTCTCCGGGGCCTGTCCTGGAGGCGGCAGCAGTGCTCGCAGTCCTGGATCAGCGTCCCATAGCTGCGTGCCACGTAGCTTTCATGTAAGAAGCAGTTGGAAGACCTGGTCTCCCCTGAACCAGAGCCACCTAAATTCATCAGCATGGCCTCGGAGTAGCTGGGGATCAGCTGACGATTGGACCGGATGTGCCACTCCAGCTCGGTGCTGTCCGCTGTCTCCACTCGTGGGAGGCTGTAGCCGCCATTGTGCAATGGGCCATCATCGCCCGATGGAGAGGGACTGCTATTGCTGTACTCTAGCCCAAAGAGCTTCTCCACATGGTAGTGCACGTAGGCCGTGCGGTACTCAATGAGGACCCGCAGAGGCCAAGACAGCATGAGCAGGGCAGCCAGCCAGAAGGCTACCTGCGAGGCGTACCACGGCAGGCGGTCCGGGTCCACATAGGCGATCAGGTGCTCCTTGAAGTCGACATTCTTCAGCTGCATGCCCTCACGAGCCTCCATGTAGTCGTCTAAGCCCTCAATTTCGGAGAAGAACCGGGCCCGTTGGCTGAGGTAGGCGTTCTCGGGTCCGGTGCCGGCAAAACTGAAGCACTTTGTGAAGCGCAGCCGGGTGGCGGGGTGGCCCTCTAGCCCCCGCAGGTCCCTCGAGATGTCCTTGACCCCACAGTGGCTGTAGTCAAACTCGCCCTCAGCCACATGTGTGTTGACCCGCTCGTGGTAGACCTGTGTGGTGGTGTAGGCGTCCCCATTGCGGTAGCGGGTCACCTGCCGGGTCCTGCGCACAAAATGGTAACTGATGGCCTTCCACCAGACGCAAGGGCGCGCCCGCCGCATGCGAAGCACCCTCTCGTACACGCTGTCCACGTCGGCTTTGCACTGCAGCTCGCTATGCGCCCGGCAGTGCCAGCACTCCACCAGGTACACGGCGTAGAGCATGAGCAGGAAGGCCAGGGGGATGTAAACGTAGCCATCGGAGCAGGGGCTGTCGTGGTATATCATCGAGCGGCTGCCCATGCCGCCGCCGCGCACTGAGGTGAGGGATGCCGTCAGGGACGAGGTTGCCACGGCGTCGAAGCTCAGCTTGGTGACACGGGTCAGCTGGCACCAGGCCACGGCGCCCAGGCAGCCGTACATGAGCAGCGACAGCAGCAGGCAGCGCCAGTGGGATTCGCGGCACATGGAGGCGCTGAGGGACTGCTTCACGGGCCACTGCTGTGGGGATACACAGAATGAACGGAGGGGGAGGGGGTGCTTATACCGGTGTACTCCACCAGATTGCTGTAAGTGACAAACAAGAACAGTTAAACCAGCTCTTCTGTGGGGGCTCAAGGAGTGATTTAATGAACCCGGTAAAAGCGATGTGGCTGCAGTGCTTTTCACAATCCCAAGTGCTTTAATGCACTTATAGTAATTGCATCTCCCCCTCTAGTTTGGCCATGCTGACACGCTATTAACATTTATGCTGTGAAATCTCGAATAACCTGATAAACTGCAGGGCTTGCAGCTCACTATTTAATGCACATAATACCTCACATACGTCACACGGTACGAGACCTTAAGTAGTGGCTTTTTATCCCTCTCATTTATCCCTTATTTAAGAGGCAAATGTTACTGTATTCAAACAGGGTTCATGAGTGGTGGCTCAGTGGGTAATGCTGTGGCCTCCGAGCCGCGGGGAAGCTGATTTGATTTCCTTAATCTGCTCGGTGTGTGTCTGTGTATATGTGTATGTGCTATGTGTAGATTACATCCTGGGGACCAAATATCCCCACAATGTGATAAAAACCTGTTATTTTGGGGGGCATTTTTTCAGTTCCCCCAAGGGGAAACTCAATTTTGACTACTTGCAAAAAAATTAAAATAGTTTTGTATTTTGTTTGGTTATTTACGGTTAAAGTTAGGGCTGGGTAGGGGTTAAGGTTATTATAGTTTGGAATAGGGTTATGCTCATAGAAATGAAAGGAGTGCCCCCACAGTGACTGGAATATATTAAACGTGTGTGTGTTTCTGCATTATCTCCACACACTCTTTCCAGTTTCCTCTCACACCCACACAAGATGCGTGGTTAGGTGAACGGCAGTGTCTAAATGGCTCATATTGCGTGGAAGAGCAGGTGGCCGGTGACGGCCTGTTACTCCGTACAGGGTGTCCCCTGCCTAGTGTCCCCTGTCACTCTATATAGGGTGTCCCCTGCCTAATATCCCTTGTCACTCTATACAGGGTGTCCCCTGGCACTCCGTACAGGGTGTCCCCTGCCTAGTGTCCCCTGTCACTCCGTACAGGGTGTCCTCTGTCTAGTGTCCCCTGTCACTCTATACAGGGTGTCCCCTGCCTAGTGTCCCCTGTCACTCTATACAGGGTGTCCCCTGCCTAGTGTCCCCTGTCACTATGTACAGGGTGTCCCCTGCCTAGTGTCCCCTGTCACTCTATACAGGGTGTCCCCTGCCTAGTGTCCCCTGTCACTGTGTATAGGGTATCCCCTGCCTAGTGTCCCCTGTCACTCTGTATAGGGTGTCCCCTGCGTAGTGTCCCCTGTCACTCTGTACAGGGTGTCCCCTGCCTAGTGTCCCCTGTCACTCTGTACAGGGTGTTCTCTGCCTAATGTCCCCTGTCACTCTATACAGGATGTCCTCTGCCTAGTGTCCTGTGATAGTGTGTGATCCTGTACTGTAAGCTACTATGGAAGATGGATGCTTTAAACAATGAAAACACATGTCAAACAGAGGAGCACAGGAGGAACACTTTCTATAACAGATCCTCCCCTCACTTTCGGGTTAATTAGCAATGTCAAAGCAAAGAGGCTCCAAACAGCACGTGACAGACCCCTTCTCTAAGCCCCCCACAACTCCCAGACACTAATTAGCGTGGAAAAAAAACAACCTGTGATTAACTAAATCAGATCCATTGCAAAAAAAATTATTCCGATTTAGCTGGAATCCTCAATGGAAAAGAAGTTAAGAATAAAAATTGTATAATTTTATAAAAATAGTATAGTTATAAAAACAGCTCAGTTCTCAAAGGGAATTTATGAGAATTAAATGACTTCTTGTCACAGCCACTTCCATTTTCTTAATTCCAGAAAACAGGAATGCACAGGATGTTGAAAGCAGTTTTATTCCCACAGTAATACTAAAATTTGATCTGATCTAACGCCTGAAAAAAGATTGTCTGGTTTTCATGCGCACGTTTCTGCAGGATGAGCAATGAACCCTGTGAATGAGTCAGAGGGTCAGACTGGCCGGTGACAGCATGTTTGATATTTATAGGGCTTGAAAGGCTTTTAAGGAAGAAGAGAGTGATGGGTGTTATGTAAATAATTGAGAAGGCCCGTGAAAGTGAATGGTGAATATGACTAAAAGCAAGCAGGCCAAATCAAATTATTCCACGAAAACTGCTCACTACATTTGCCATATAGCAGACAAGAGAGGCTGGAACTCTGCTATCGTTTGTAAAGCTTAGCGATTTACAATTAGCATCTGCAATTAGCAGTGCACCCCCTTCATATCAGTGTCAACGGGTCACCTGTTCACGTGATGTTATGTAATCCAAGGATCCAGCTGAAATTATATGATGTCCACAAGAGGGATTTCACAAGAATCCAATACGGCACACCCACCGAATGCAGAGATTTCTGTAGGAATCACACCAAACGTCTCAGAAACAGCTCACAGCTGCAGTTCTGACTGGCGATAAATTGCTCCTTTTTTTCGAGAGCTCTTCTGTGTCTATCCTGACAATGACTTCACGACTATGCACAATAAGGCCATGCAGGAGGCTAGCCAGGAAACTGGCAGCTGCTTGGCGACACCATTAACTCCCACCAGCCTGGCCCCAACCTGCTGGAGCGTGTGCCTCTGATCTCTCAGACTCTCGAATGCCACAGCACCCTGTTTAGCTTGATGAAAACACACCTTGATCAAGCTGCGGAGCAGATGCCGCTAACCGCTAATGGTGCCGACAGAGCCGGCAAGCGGCACTGTGACTTTAAGCTCTTGGGGGTTGGGTCCCGTTCGAGCTATGGGGGTGAATAAGGTCTGAGGCCTCACAGATGAGCGTGCAGCTTAACGACGTTTTAAGTCAATGAGAATTTAGGGGGGGCTGCCCACTGTCTATGGTAGGTGTATATAAAGCCAAACATATACTATCAATTTATATCTTACCATATTTTCCGCACTATAAGGCGCACTAAAAAGCCTTTGATTTTCTTAAAAAATAACAGTGCGCCTTATAATCCAGTGCGCTTTAAACGTGGATTAATTTCTGTTGTGCATACTGAACTCGAAGCGATTTGAATGTTTTAGTATGACTTTGGTAAACTGCAAAGCCGCACCACTAGCATTAAGGCTACAGTTATTGTTAATAGGCTGACTTTTGATTTAGCGGTATAAGACTCTTGTTTTTTTACGTGTTAAAGAGTAGTGAAGACGCTCATAAACGTTTGAACAATGTTGACAGCCATTGTGAACACGTGATGTAAAATACATTTTGGTTGACTGGCTTATCTGACTGTTTTGTTTTGCTTAAAGCGCCTTAAAGTCCGGTGCGCCTTGTATGTGGAAAAAGTTTGAAAATAGACCACTGACTGACGGTGCGCCTTATAATGCAGTGCGCGTTATAGTGCGGAAAATACGGTATATGTAGCATCGCGATTCAAACAGGCTTTTAGGCCTGAATGCTTTAATGTGATTACGTGATTAGGACGTTCATCCTTCACCCCAGAGAGTAGGGGTAGAATCCCACTGTGGTCAGATCAATCCATCTGGAGCACCACAGCTAAGTACTTCCTAAATTAGATGCAATTTTATCACATCGACATTGCTTAAAAGTATAATAATTCATTTGCTTTCCTTTAAGGCTTTGTGTAAATATCAGGACATGTGAAATTTAGGGAATGAACTGGTGAAGTCACGTGGTGGTACTGATGTAGAGATAAAATATAACTGTTTATTGTATAACCATGGTAACCATAGGTAATCATGGGATGCATTATAAGGATAAATTTTAAATGTAAACATGAGTCTATGACAAAGAATAGGGTGTGGACTGACCAGGACAGGGTAAAGTCGGTTGGCAGGCCAGTTCATTCACTTTACTTGTCTCATTATCAATCAAATAAAATTAAGTGTCCAGACCCTGATATCCTGATGTTCACACACCATTGCAGCTTTTTTTCCAAGACCTGCTTTGTTTTCCTGTTTTTTTCTCTGAATCTGACATGGCCATCTCCTGTCCTCGGTCCCCCTGACTCTTTTGTTAAATTGGTCTCTAACAAAGACAGAAAATCACAGCAGAGGACCCTCTTGCTGCTTGAGTCAAATAAATTACAAAAATGCCAGAAATGAATTTTCAGTTGCACAGCATAACACAAGTGGTGCAGAGCAAAACCAAAGCACAGAGGAGTCTACAAAAGCCATTCACAGCCTGCTAACTCCGTAATTAGAGCAAAACAACAGGATATAAGTTGTCATTATTTATAATTAGCCAGCTCCAGCTCCCCCATGCAAACAAAACAAACGAAAATGTGTTTTTCGCAGATGACCCGGCAGTTAATATTTACTTGTTGTACAGACTCATTTTAATGAGATGTCTCACTGCAGATTGATACAAGTTTTTACCTAAAGACTGTTGGGAAGGCTGATTCATTTTTGGGAAACCATCTAGCTTGAACTAATATTTATCAATACAGGTGGGTATAACTGGTGCATACCAAGTTATGTCTTTCTCATGCCCTGCAAGAGCCTGAAACTTCCTATTCAAGTTTAGGGCTTGTCGCCGTAGCGATGTCCATTAGGACCCACCACTCTCTGCAGGCCTGACTGGGATTTCTTCCTTCCGAAAATCCCAATCGATCTATTTGCCATCACAAAAAACCAAATGTTCCACAGTATGTGACAATGTTCCATTTACTTTCACTTTGATTACTGGCTATCTGTAGCATCATATATAGTATTAATAAGGTAAAATTGAACTTTTCCATAACACGCAAGGGATTATTTTCATTAAAACATAAAAAAAAGTTGACAGAAATGAAAAATGTACTGTACATACTGAGTTGAATCACTACATTAAAAAATAAACATTTACCTACCAACAGCAGAAATACTTTTAAAAAGTTGCCAACAAAACATTTGCAGTCTCTTGTGGTCACATCTCCTTGGTGCCACGGTCTGTTGAAATATGCTCTGACCTATTCAATTTCAGAGGAAATCCAT